TCAGCTGTCATCTCCAGAGACAGAACTAAAAGAGCAGGAACTGAGCAAAGAAGCACGAGCCACAGGACTACCAAACCAATTGGGTAAGTGTGTATGGTTTACTGGAGTTCCACCTGTCTGGTTTTTAGGCATTAGTCAAATCAGTTACTCAGCTAGCAGTTTATTCAAAGCACACAGTAGTAGTAAACAGAGACAATTTAATCCTGCCCTCAGCAGTCTGCTCAGCAGCAAAACATTCATTTGACCAACTCCTACACGTACCCGCAACACCTTCACTTTTATGTTTAGCCACTAAACCTTACAGCTATAAAACAACTTACTGAAGTGAGTAAATCATTGCCGATGCTGAGTCACCTTGATAGCCTGAGAGCCTGTCAGCTGCCCCACTGGTGGAGCCTCCAGAATAGAAATAAATAAACCAACATAAGTAGGTTCAGTCTTTTTAAATCAAGCGGTTATTTGAAATTTTGTCTTAAAAATTATTTTTAAATTTTATTTTTAAATTACTTTTTGTTGCAGGTACATTAAAAGTGGAAATAAACTTCGCAAATGGTATATGGTGCTTGACCAGGATACCAATTTGTGCTTAGCAAAATACTGCTAAATTTAAATTTATGGAGGGAAAATTAGGAGAATTTTGACTTTAGATTATGTCCAAACACCCCTTTAAAGGTTTTTAAAATCTTCCTCGTAACAGCTCAACATGCCATTACTGTTATGTTTCAAGAACCTGCTGTTCATAAAGCTGATAACATGCCTTTACAGTCAGGCCCAATGCTGAGGAGATGGACAGCAACAGCTTTATTACTTTGAATCAACTGAGTTAAGGTTTCCACTTATAAAAACACTGAATTATTTATAATTCCTGAATCTGGGTCAGTGCAGCCATTTTCCAGTTGAACACAAGTAATATAATCATGTCCAGAAATTCTTCACTGTAGATTGCCAAACACTTGCATCTATAAAATGCTAACTAGGAGAATCCATCCACAAGGCCACCTTTTTAATCACAAGGAAACTATGGATCAAATTTTCTGACGTGTTTTGATGTCAGCAGATTGCAAAATCTGAAATTTGCTATTTTCTATTAACTGCAGAAAATGTTATATATGTTTCTCCTTAATTGTGGAAGTCAAAGCAAATCTGGATCAATCTTACACCATTTCAGAGCTTAAATGTGATTGACAATGCATGGGTTAAGGAGGCACAAATACATCTTTTTTTAGAAACTGTAAAACATAACAAAATATTGAGTGTAAAATGGAGTGCACACCCTAGCGATAAATGATGACAACACTCAACAATGTTAACAATTGGATATACCTTCTGGGGCTTGTCTCTTTCAAATAAACTGTCAATGGCTTCACTGTCTCTCAGAATAGTCGGCGAGTACTGCCACACACCTAAACACTGATAGTTAAAAGCCCATTTCTATTCAGTTTCAACATTTTCCCGTGGGACTTCTTTTCTGTTGTAGAATAAGCATTAGTGTTAAAAGTCTAAGTCCTGATCCCAGCCATAGTAGCCTTTGAAAATCCCCTAGTGAAATTATTTATTTTCTGTCACTTTCCCAGTACAAACGACATTGTGCAGTGACTTCCAAAGAGACAAAACCAGACGTAACTTTCTTTTTACTGTAAAACGAACAATCACTTTGTAAAGAAATCAAGATGGACAAATATGGACAATTGTAAATATGATTATTGTTTCCTGTTTCCTTTTTCTTTTTCATCCTATTTTAAGATACACGATCATTAACTATCCAATTTGCAGGCGCCAGATTCACATTTGCAGGGGCTGTTAAATGACTCACTCCCACACATTGAGTTTTTCTTGAGGTCATTTTGTAAACTAATTTGTCTAAACGTTTGTTTTGAATTCTTGCCATGAGCTGTATTTCCTGCTCTGTAAATTACCATGTTGAAGAGTGAACATCTCTACATAACATTTTTTTCTCTCTAAACTCTCCTCATTTTCACCCCGGGGTGTCTGAGAGGATGTTGAGTTCACAGAGAACAGTTCTGTGAAGTACAATGAGTCTTGTGGACATCAGCTCCATGTGTTTATCTGTGTGAGGTATGCCCACATGTGTGCTATCATCCCTCTGTGTTTGAATGGTTTGGTGTATGTACACATTTATTAAGCCAGTGGTGTGTGTCTCAGGCTGTATAAATAGTTCAAAGCATCAAAGAGCACTTTATCTCTGAGAACTGATACACGAAGACTTTCTATGTTCAGCTATACGGTGGATTTCATATGCACCTTTCTTCTTTCTTTCCTACAACCTTTTTGCATTCAGCTTCTGGTGTAACTGATCATAAGGAGGAGCTTCATGTCAGAAAATGTTTTGGGGTAAATGCAGCATAAGCTTCATAATACACTCAGTCATGATTTCTTCCTACCTTTTCTAATCCAAGGACCAGGTCTATTTATCATGTCTATTTACCTTGTGATCCCATCTCAATCAATGAGATAAAAACTGTCCAAAATATTTTTTAAACATGCCCGTTTAAAAACTACAAAAAATGTGCATAGCCATGTATTGCATATTTATCTGCACTAGCTTGACTCACAATACAAGACAAAAAATGTGCATAGCCATGTATTGCATATTTATCTGCACTAGCTTGACTCACAATACAAGTTGAAAGTTACCAGCCAAACTTTTGAATGGAAGCGTTGGAATAGCACCAAACAGCAGATGGGCTCAGTCAGAGAGTGGATCTACAGCAGTCACATAGATATAAACAGATTAACAATCATTCCATTTCTATTTTCTTTTCTGGATGTCTAAATAAGATTTCAATGGTGAGAGAGATGACCATAAGACAGTACTTCTTCTCGCTACTGAGCTCTGAAATGCAAATATCTAAATCAAATGCTGGTCAGTTTTCCTGTGACCAGCATGGAAGCTGCTGTACAGAGGCTATAGAGGCCAAAGAGAAGGAAAGTGGTGACAGTGCTACTACTGGAATCACAAACTAAGTTAGACTCGGGCTCTGTTGCTATGGCAGGGCTTCAGTAACAAACACCTCAACATGAGTGATGTGTTAAAATGCTGTTTTTGGATTTTGTTCTGGGGTGCTTTTATTCATGGTATAATAGTTTTTTTTTTTTACTAAAGTTTAATCTTTCTTCAAACTTGATTTGCCATGAATAAATGAATATTTTGTCATCTTTCTCTCTTGAGGTTTTAACCCTTTGGAACTGCCTGACACGGGTCTCCTCTGTGTGAACAGGAATTATACCATTTGTTAGTAACTGCTAGTGGGCCTCCGAGGTGTCACTATTGCAGTATAATTTCATCCTCCTTTCCACAGAGTCATTCTATTACTCTCCAGGGAGAGGAAGACAGTAGCGACGAGAGAGTCCATAGATGAATCCATTTAAACTGTATTTGAATTAATTCTCTGATGGTCTCTTCCTCATTGAATATCGAAGAAGAACTTGTATTGACCACATGTTAATTTGAATTCAAATATAACCTATTGTGTGGGCTAGTGGTATTAATCAGCCTGACCTTCTCAGTTTTTTTTTTTCTTGAATCTTATGACTTAGACTTTACCAACACATAGTTAACTTCATGGCATGATATTAGACTGGTTGATCTCAACTGTGGACCAATGCTGCCACCTAAAGGAAAGTATGAGAAGCCCCCTGAGCCATAATTCAAATGTGGCTTTACACACAAAAAAAGGGGGGAAAAAGATAGGGTTTCATACAGTAATAATTGTGTGTCATGGATGTTTTGATGGCATTGACCAGATAGACTTTCAGTGCCTTAACATCAATAGGGCATCTAGTGTGCTGTAATATTCACAATGGTGTACACAGTTTTGTTTAGTAGTTTGAGAATCTCCCTCTTGTTTATACTTTCTGTTTTATACTTTCTGCACAATATAACAACATCATAGATGAAGAGGAAAATGAAAACCATGTGCAGAATAATATTCATATATTACTGCCTAAGTCGCTCACTCATCATCAAAGGGTGCTTTTCAAAGCAGAGATGATGATGTCAGATGTGTAATCATCAACATATTTGTCAGGTAGCATTTGTTGGCACGTACGTATCTGCTACAGCAGTGTCAGGTCATCTCATGATGAGTTTCTTAATGCATGGTTCGTTAGAAAAGAGAAGTCTTCACTAAAGTTTCCACTATTTTAGTAAATGATTAAGAGCACATATCCTCTCCAGCCATAGGCTAATATGGTTGTTTTTTATGATGTTTCTGCATTTAGCAGCAGTGGCTTACAACACCCAAAAATTAGGTAGACTTAGGTAGGCCTAGCCATGCCCTTACTGGAAAGTTGCCCTAGTCAGGATTTGAACGGCCAACCTGCTGTTCCAAAGACAGTAGGATGTTTCACTACACTATTGATTTGCAAATGAAAGTTCACTACAAATATGTGTTTTCTCCACAAAACTACCAGAGATCAGTGGAAGGACTGGCTTTGTAGCCAGTCATCCTGACTACCTGTGTCGTCAACTGTTCATGTAACTTTTCACCATGATAGCCCCCACATCCTGCCCCGGTCCTGTTCGCTTCTATAGTCTATAGTTCCTTGTAGACGTGCTGAAAAAGGGTGATCAGGTCATTGCTGTTTGAGGGAACAGATAGTGAGGTGAGATACAGTTTTCTGGGCCACGATTCTGAGTAGAGTACATCAATCATTTATGCCATTCTCGGTTATCAGTTTGATCTGTTCTGATCGATGTTCTTTCCTGCATTGGGACCTTATTCATATCTAAATAAGTAAACGAAAGCCCTTCTGTAATGCTCCAATTGTGACATTTTCCTATTTTTGGTTTCTTATATGATGAACAGCCCATGTGGATAAGAGCACAGCTTTAAGACACATAATCATTATCACTCAGTAGAGTGTGGGTTAGAGTGATAGAGTTAATACAGTTTCACATCTGTATTTGTGAGAACATACATGGGATTTATGTTGCTGTCCACAGTGTGTTACAGAATAGTACATACACGTTTTGAGTTTTCGACTTGCTTTTAATTTTCAAATGTCAATATAACCATCAAACTTAAATTGATTTTCCTGGTCTTTCCTATGTTACATAAACAACAGGGAGCATCTTTCACATCAAAGATCCAGATTTCACATATTCAAAGTTGAGCCTGGAGGAAATTTGAAGTGTCTGATTTTGTGCTCATCAGTCACCACTGAATGAAGACTGTCGGTAATCCAGTTTTATTATCGTACAACAAAGACTTACTGTCAACACTTCTACATTATTCAGATTCACATCACAACCAGTGGTGAAGAGTTTAGAAATATACTTGTTAGATCACAAAAATTATTTCAAATAATTACAAAAATTGCATAGAACGTTTAGTCCACCTTTGATTTTGAAACACAATAAAAAACTAAATGAACAACTTAACAATTTAAAACTTTAGTACACAAAAAATATCCTAAATGTATTTATAGTCATTATTAAATAATAAATTAAATAAGAAGAAAAGATGGAATAAATACATTATTGTTTTCATTAACAATGATGGAGCCAATACACTCCTGGCAAAAAAACTGTTTCCCTCCAGTTTTTCTGTTTTTCACAATTGTGGATTTTGTACTTGATAACGGATTCCATGATTGGAGATGGATCTCTATCTTCCAGACTATGTCTTTGGCATTACATCTTTGACACCTTTCGCCTTGATGGGTCTACATCTGGTTGTCGTTATACTGTGGGGTGGAATACTGATCCTGCATGGCACCAGAAGCTGCCTCCATGGCAGCTTGCTGGGCTGCTGCCTGGACATGAGGGTTCTTCCAGGCTCCTGTGGCCCATTCCTCTTGAGCTTTGGACATGCTGGCCCCAGTGCCACGGTAGAAATTGTGGATCTGTATGCATGATGGGGAGTCATTATTAACGTCATTATGGGGGTAAGGTAAGTGGTCTTAAGTACTTTCATTAATGCCAGATGGATTCTTAAATTCTATTACTCCAAATAATTCAGTCTGTCAACCAATTTACAACGTGCTTGAATTACTTCATAGATATCTGCCACTTGGTCTATCAATAGTTATTTGTTAGTGTTAACTATGAAAAAATCTAACTCAATTGGAGTCGTAGAAACAGTTAGAAATAAGACAGAAATCGTTCAAATATTTGTAACTGCATGTTCTAGCTTATGCACAAGGCCTGTGGGCATAGGAAAACTAAATGCAAATGGTAAACTCACCTTTGTAAGTGCAATGAAGGACAGTGAAGCCACAGCTGTGAACATTATTGTCGGGATCAGCATGATTAAGGCGATAAAAATATTATAGCTGAAGAAGGAAATGGTGGCCAACCAACCACTGAAAATGAAAGAAAACAAAATCTGAATCTGAAACAATAAATGTTTGAAATTAGAACTGCAATGACATGGTAATGAAACCACACTTGAACATCTGGACTATAAATGCTGGATAAATTGCCAATTTTAAAGTAGAGTGATAGAACATTTGAAGATCTATTTCTCATGCCTAAGAACATTAATTGGCATATAGTGACTTTAATATTAGTTTAGTAGATCATAAGCCTGAATCAGAGGATATTTTGAGGATTACTTCAGGATAACAACAGCCTCTAAAAATAATATAGTTATATTTAGGTGTGAAAGCAATAGAAGAGGGTTTTTTAAAGATAAAGTGCTGCCTGAGCTAAAACTATCCCATGTTAATGGATTCCATTTCAAACAGCATTTCTGTTGTCATTGGCATTTGTTACATAGCAATGAATGAATAATAATATGTGCAGGGAGATACTTTTATTTATTTTAATAGTTCCACTTGGTCTGAGTCACTGTATGTTCAGTATGTCACTTCAGAATCAGGTATGCTAGCAAAAATTGTATGTGTAACAGTCTCTTGGCAGTTTTTCAACGTGAAAGACAAATATTATTTATTTGTGGTCCTGCTGGATGCCTCAGCCCACAAATCAAATTTATGTTTGTTCTGATCACTATCATTCATGGTTGACCTTTTATCCTTTTCCTTATACTATAATAGTTAACTGAGTGAAAATACTCTCATAATTATAAGAATGATACCTCTGACCACATGCAAGGATATGAAAATTAACTTGATCTATATTTTTAAAATATTTATAAGCATGAAAAACAGGATCCGAATCAGTTACTGTTAGTAAATAAGAGGCATTTCCTAGTCTTACCATACTCCCCATCCTGGGATACCTATGCTTTGGATGATGCTGATGCCAACTTGGGCCATGAACACAAAGAAGAACAGCATGAAGTTGAAGGAGCTGTCACTCCTAATAGAAAAAAACACAAGCATTTACCCCTCAAGCTTTTGGTTGATACAGATGGGTGGGATTAAAGAAGCAACACTTCGATAGGCGTTCAAAAATGTTTCCATAACTGCCATCTAGTGAGCAAGTAGAATGCATGCAGGCAAAGAACATTTAGGAAAGGTTCCTGATGACCCCCCCCCCCCCCCCCAAGTCAGCAGCTTCAAGCTATCGCATTGTAATGCATGGTGTCATGAGATAATCTCTACATGCAAGCGAGAATTTAAAAAATGATTGCGCTGCTCTGTGAAACAGCAGAAAACTTTAACAAGCACATTCCCCTCTAACTGTCAAACTGTACTAACCTTTTGGGGAAACATTTATTTATTTAGCATCCAGGCATTCATGTTGTTTTCTTTGAAAACTGTCTTGAACAAAGATTCCCCTGGCTTTCTGTCTTTTAAAGTTTTCGTTTGGTATTTTTTTCCCACATATTCCAGTCTTTGTTACCGACCACAAGTTTGTATATATAGCCTTTTAACACCAAACTAAGAATCATTCAGGCACCCGACGCAACTTAGTATTGTTTTTTTAACAGTCACAGATCATTTTAGATGATGTAATAATTTGAACATGCAAATAAACTGCATAATATCCAAATAATACATTCAAATTGCAATATACCATTGCAAAACTGTGAAGATAGTAAGGGTGCATAATGCATAGAAGTGCTTTCTTTGGTCTTACTTGAAGGCTTTGTAGATGGATCTGAACCAACAGACATAGGAGCAAGGAGTGAACATGATTAGCCAGATTAGGGCCAGTCCAAAGTTGGTCACTCCACCTCCACCAAACATCCAAACAAAGCAGGCAATGAGATTCACAGCAAGCGTGGCAGTATTCACTGGAAGAACAGCACAGAGACGTTTTACAAATCGGAAACACAAAACAAAAACGAACAAACAGCCATTACAAACATGCACATGCAAATGGAAAAAAAGGGTTTGATTTGGTTGAAAAAAAAGGAAAGAAAATTTAAGAGGCTGTCGGAATGGTGAGCTTGAACCTGTGGCCAAAAGGGTCTGTTTGGCAGCACAGCTTAAACATTTTTCTTTTGGCCAAGATAGAATGATTTTATAAAGATACATAAATGTATATATTTAAAAATCAATTTTCAAAAATGCATTTCTTTAGAACACACCAAATGCACAAACAAAAGTAAATTTTTACATGACACAAGGAGAAAAATGCAAGATATGATCTTTCAGGTGGAAATAGCAACGTGCATTTCATAACTGCACATTTGAGAGTATGACAAATGAAAGAAAGGCCACTTAAATCCGCCACAAAAGATCAATAAATGATTGCACTTTGGAGCAAATTGGGGCTTTCAATACCTTCTTACGTTTAGCTTTTTTGAAAAAGAAGACACCTGTAGGAAGGAAAGATAGTTCTCCATGAGAGGCGCATAGATTCTGTTATACTGTCTAAAGAAAATGTCTCTGACAATCCAGTCATCCCTCACATAGAGAAGACAGGCTCCTCTCAACTTGTTGCATTTAGCAGAATGAGCTAAAACCGGGCAACCACACCTTAGTTTAAATATTTGGGTTCATTATTTTCAGCTGGTCATTGACTTGATCCTGTTTCTGGACCATAGCAACTGTTACAAATCACTTCCCTACTGCTATAAGAACCTTATCATGAGCTGATCACAAAGGAAAAGACACAGTATAAAAATGCTTTCTTGAATCATTAATGTGACAAAAGAATTTCATAACAAGCCACTCACACATCCACAGGTGATACATTTTCTTGCACATGGTGCGGTGCTGCTCCGGGATCTCCTCAAAGTCTTGATAGAAACATGGCTTAAGCGGAATGAATCCCGGAATTGGAGGGAAATTGGGCTCTGTAACAAACAGTAGATACACAGACAATTATAGCTTATTTATTACTTGTGTGCCTTTTCTTTTTCATTTAGCCTGGACGTCTTCATTACTGACCAGCCATGTGGATACGGAGTAGCTTGCCTTTGGATTGACTCCTCCCTCTGACCTTTCAGACTGTCAATCAAGGAGAAACTGCAGGTCAGTGTGAGCTACTGTAGTTGACTATTTGCAGATGCTTTCAAATGCACGCACAGGGGAAGGAGTGCATCATCCAAACCTGACATATGCCAAAGCAAGAGAGCGGTTAACAGAGAGTGTAAGGATTCATCTTGCTGGGGGATTTATTGCCTTTTATAGCCCTTCAGCTACGACTGCAGCTGATAGTATCTGGAGGACATAATCATTCCGGCCTCATCAACTACAGGACAAAAACAAAAAAACTAAACTAACACACATTTGGTAGTCACACGCAAGTGGGAGTCACATGCAAACAGGTGAGACGCACAGGTGTATCGTCCCAATACACGACTGGTGTCTAAGGGAGGACTATAGTGAAGTGGAATTAAGGTTTCTTCAGGAGACCTAAGCTGCTTACCTCCTCCGCAAAGCGCCCTCTCCCCGGTGTAACGTGCTCCCCCACGGAGGCTTCAGCTGCCCGATGAATGCTCTGCGGATGATCAATCCGGTACCGAGTGCCAAAGCCCTCACACAGTTTTAATACTTTAGTTCTGCACCGTACGACTGCAGCGATAGATTCTGGAGATCCTAACCCGCTCACCAATCACCGAGCGTGAGCCCGCTGTCACTTTGATCCAGGCCAATAGGCGGATTACTCTAATCCTTGACGTTGTATTGTTGACCCAATCACGTTTTAGTTCCCCTGTCCATGGTGCTGAATACCGACGGTAGAAAAACAGTCTGAGAAGTGTGGAGAACGTCTCCAATGTCACTAACACCTCGCTGATTGTTTCGAGGAAGGTACATTTCTGGTTAATTTCACCGCCAGAGGTCAGGCCGTAAGATGGTGCCAGCAAATTAATAATTATAGATAAGGGGAAATGAATACACACAATCCTTAGCACTTCAGATGTGAATATTAGACAGATCTGTCCTATGAACGTAGTTAAGCCCCTGATAAACTGCATTTATTGGGATCTACTGACTTCTAGTGGTGAGGTTAAGCAACTGAACGCACTTTGAAAGTGAAATGGTGACACCATTGCCATCACTTACTTAAAGATAGTTGAATAAATGAGTCAATAGTGAAAGTGTGGTTTGCTTGTTCTGGCCCATGGTAGAAACATGTTCGTGAAACATTGACAAAGCGTAGGTATCAGTATTGTATTTCATTTCTGCAAATACAGCCATAATAATGCTACATTACTGGAATTTTGACTTGCAACAATGAGAATGCACAAGTCTGGGGAACTCATTTTTTGACATAGTAATCTGTGAGCTCATCTTGCTGTCTCTTTGGATGCATCCTGTGTTCTTGAGATTCTATTCACCTACAGATTCTTTTTTTTCTATTTGTAATCTTTAGGTACAATTTGGAAATGATTGTTTCACAATAATGGCAAATCATTCAGTCCCAAAAGTAGTAAAAGAACCTCAAAGCACCCCCATAGTTCACAGATAGGATAAGATCTTATGATAGAATCCAGTATTTGACTTTTTCCAAAGATTTTCATGGAAACCATTTATTTTTGCCAACATTTTTCACACAAATGTCCTAGCTTGGGAAATTACACTATGCACCAATATGCTTTTTTGGTAGTAGTGGTATTTTCCATCTCACAGAATCCGCATTTCTGTTGTTAAAATATTATGAAAATGGACTTTAGGAATATACTATAGTCACTTGAAAGGCATAATGACCAACTGGCTTGTTAAATTAGTTGTTGAATTGTATAACATACTTCTACAAATGCCTTGTCTGGATCAGAAGTTAATCATTCCACTATCTGCTAATCTTAAAAGTTCATGAATCAGCAGCTTTTAAATAGCAGATGAACATGTGTGTCAGATATCTCTTTGTTTCCTCATTACTTTTCCTTTCTGGTCATTAGCTTGTCTCTCTTCACCTGTGGTCCCTGCCACTGCTGTCTCTACTCACTTATCCAGCTCCTCTGTATAAAAGCTCTCTGGTTCTCTCACTCCTCTTTAGATTCTTGACTGTAATCGTTGCCATGGCAGGCCTAGCAGACCCCCGTTAATGGCACTGGCATTTCATCTCTCCTCAGCTCCAAAGGATTTTCTTGCTAGGTTATTTCTTGGCTTTTGGTTTTTGTTCTTTAGATTATAGTTTGTTCTTAAGTTTTTTTGTCATATTTCTATATACACATTTTCATTTGTTCATTGTTTTTTTGTTTGTTTTTCCCCATGTCTGCACACGTGTTATTTCATTTCTATGCCCTTTTTTAAGAACCCGAAGAAAACGCTTCCAAATGATGCATTCAAAGTCCACCAAGCCACTTGTGCTTGTATTTGAGACTAGAAGCAGCCCACTATAATGAAAATGCATCTATTTGCTGTGTATTTATTTCCTTTGTGATTTTACACTATGCAGCCTGTGAATTTGAAACCTTTGCAGTACCTTTTTACCCTTCTTTATTTGTTGTAAATGGCAATAATGAAAAACTTGCACCTTTTCAGTCTTTTGGGAAATTCATGCAATGTGCAGTGACAAGTAAAAATACTGCCCCTGGGCTTTTTCACCCCTCTAAACAATTGGCGTAGCACTTGGCAGTATAAAATATTACTGAAAAATCATATAGTGAGTGAATATTACATGTAAATAGGGCCTGCAAAAGAATGAAATTTCCAAGAACTGACATGAGCTCATACTGGAACGAATAGCAATACTCAATGTCCTGAGCGATGAGTCAGCCCATATGAATTTGTTTCCCTAGAATCCAAACACTTGCAGACCGCAATCAAAGCAAGTGCTGGTTTATTTGACATATTTTATAGAAGTGCGAGTCAATACAAATTAGATGCAGCTGTCAGAAAATGTTATGAGACTTGTTGGATACCACAGTAAATTTCATCTTATTGCTGTCATAATACATAAACAGAGTATTTACCTTATTATGACTAAAAAAAGATCAGACCAGTCAAAGAACATCTGAGGGTGTTCTCGAAAATCATTTGGGTTCTGGGTGTTATAAGGAGGATATTTATTGAGCTTCCTACAGATTCAAATTAGAAGTCAGATTAACTCTTAGACATGTTTTTGGCCCATTTCCGGATTTATCTTTTTCTTCGCATGGCCATCCTTCTGCAGAAAGCTGCTTGTTAGGGGTGTGGTGTTGTCATACTTGACAGGCTGGTTGGTATGACTGGAAAACAGAAAGGTTTTGTCAAAGTGCAACTCCATGCAAATCCCAGGTAAGTGACAACAAAGAGGTCATACTAGCATGTTTTCCTCCTGGTCAGTTAAAGGATTCACAAAACACAACCAACAAAACATTTTGAGGATGGAGAATTTTCACCAATCTCAATGTTACTTAAGCCCTTTTTAAAGGATATTTTGTGTTCACTTTGTGCTAATGTTCCATATAAATTAGATGTGTCAACATCTGATAATGGCTCTAAGTGCAACACACAAATGCATCTGTGTTTGTGCTATGAACTTCAATACAATTATTCGACTTTCCTGTGTGAGTGAATACATTATTCTTTTCTGTGTGTTTAACAATCATTATCTCTTGATGCCCTCAAATGCCCAGTGGCTCTGCACCCTCGTGTCACTGTCCTCCAGTATAAAATGCATTTGCCCATTCACCCCCCAAACCCATGGGCCACTGTTTTTTTAGTTCCCATGGAGACACTTTCCTGCTGACCAAGCATTTGGAGGGCACCAGAAAAAAAGAGGTGGAATAATTTTGTGGAGAGGCAATAATACACCAACCTCATTTTCATGTCCAAACATGGACCATGGACCGTATCATGCAGTGTTTGTTCACTAAACATTTCACAGTAGTTGCTTAAACTTTGCTTTAAGCTGGAAGACTAAATGCATTATCAATTTCAAACATTATCATGATTTAGTCCCTTTACAGGTCGCCTGAATTAAAAGAAGACATGAAAAGTGTATTGAAATTCAAATTGTTATTCAAATTGCAGGAAGAATGTCATCCAAAATCTTCAACTCTTTGACTAGAGTTGCTCTTTTTGTACTATTGACATGAATGAAATGTGTGTGGTTCTGATGTGGTCACTGCCAAGCTCCTCCAGATGAGGTCACTGTTTTCTTTGTCTTTAGTTAGTCAGTCACAGCTATTTTCTCCCCTTAACAGGAGGCACTAGGCTGTCAGATGGAGTTTGATTTTTCCAACCTTGAAGAAGATGACAGACAGCCACCTTGGAGGAAACTGAACTCAGTATGTAAATATACCAACAGCACAGAATCTAGACTCTTCCTGGCATTGATCCAAAGATAGGAGTCATAAGGAGATAATCATTTGATATTATGTTTTAGAAATTCATAGCCATGCTATAACTACTTCTATATAAATGCAATATCCTTAAACTACTCTCTTTATATGCTTTTTTCCAGATACTCTGGCTTCAGCCCATCATCCAAGAAACATGCATGTTAGCATGATTGATGACTCCAAATTGACCTGAGGAGAGTGTGTGTGTGAGTGTGCATGGTTGTGCTGCTCATTCATCTTTGTGTGGCCCTGTGACGGACTGACAACCAATCCAGGGTATATACCACCTCCAGCCACTTCGACAGCAGGGACTGGCTCCAGCCCTCCACCCCCAACCCTACTAGGAGAAGGCAGGTACAAAAAAAATGGATGGGTGGATCGTTAAACAATACTTTTTGCCTGTGAGCCTTGTGAATCCTGTGAAATGTTAATCATAAAATAGTTATTCAATGACATACAGAATAAAAACAAGAGCTAAAACAAACAGAGAGGTATATTTCAATGTTTGAATTCAACAACGATTGACTACTACTCTATATATTGACATTATTTGAATTAATTTTCATTGTGTTTACTTCAGTTAAATCAAATTCAATAGCACTGTCTTAATCTCTCATCCATTTATAGACTAATAGCACATTTAAAAAACCCTTATTAAAGATAATTGTTCTTGAAATACAATCAGTCATTTTTACAGTTTTGTGTGTATGCTTACTTTCAATAATAATGTAAAAATGCACCTCATCCTAAATTGGCTTTCAGAAGGTCTCAGAAGGATCCACATCTGTAGGATTTTTAAGATGAAGAGTGAGTTTTTAGAATGACAAATTGATATTCTTAACATGGTCAAATCTACACATATCTAAGATCAAATGTGATGCAAGACCATTTAACTCGTTGAATCATTTGAACATGCAGCATGCTGGCTATTGTATCATTGACCCTTCTCATAGAATCATCAATATGCAGTTTTCCCTAATGAAAGACGGACCCATTTAAACCGTTTGCTGACTACAGATGGGACACTTATGTCTCTTACCTTTAAACAAAAACTACTAATGAATTATGTAGAGTAATTCTGATAAGATGGAACATCTCATGACTTTGAGTTGTTTTCTTTGTTTATTTCTGCTCGAGGTCTCCAATACTAGAACCCCCTCCTGTAATGCTGATTCCGCTGCATAATGAATGCAAACAGAAGATGTGTGAATGTGTGAATAGTCTCTAAATCATGCCAAGCAACTGTGAAAGTGAATGCAATAATATTCAGTGTTTATTGCTTTCTATTTCATACAGAAATTGTATTTGCTCTGTGAGAGTGTACCATCAGCTTCAGTGTATCTGTAACATACGTGCATTTTTTTTATCTACCCAACT